CTTGCTTGACGAGGACGGACTGGAGCTGGTCGTGGAGGCATTTGGGGGCGATACATGCGGATGAGCCTGGCGGCTGTTGACTTCGGCATGTCACCCCTTCTTGCAGATTCTTCCATGGTAAGTCCTTCCCAGAAGTAGGCATGAAGGACAGAAACAATATCATCCTTGGTGTATTGTCGACGTTGCCGGCGTTGTTGTCGTGGTAATGGTGATGGTGATGGCGGTGCTGCTGATGATGGTGATGGTGATGCTGCTGATGATGATGGTGATGTTGTTGTTGATGTTGTTGTTGGAGTTGATGCTGGTGGGGAGTATGGCGGTGGTAGTGGTAGTTGTAATTCTTCATCAGCCTCAGCGAATGGTAGCGCCATATCGAATTCCATGGCATCTCGTTCTTGCATCTCAACCTCGTCTTCGTAATAGTCCAGATCTTCGGTGTTCATAGCGGTATGGGTGTCCAAGGTCATTGTGTATTATGTTTTGAATGATTTCGAAAAATGTTATTTGACTTCGGCTTAAATACTTTTTGGTTCACATAGTACAGCTTATAGCCACTCCAAGCTACTTTTTCCGGTTCTACAATTGGGACATGTCATGGTCGAGCGAAGAAATAGCATAGGCACATTGTTGCACACAAGAGATTCTTTGAGTTTTGATTCACCGATGGGATAAGTCATGGTCAGTAGAATGAGTACTATGTTGGCCCTACGATTGGGACATGTCATGGTCGATCGAAGAAATGGCACAGGCACACAAGAGATTTTGAGTTCCAGTCCACTTTTTCTCGGTCCATTCCACCAACGGGATAAGTCATGGTCGGTAAAACAAATACTATGTTGGCCCTACGATTGGGACATGTCATGGTCGATCGAAGAAATGGCACAGGCACACAAGAGATTTTGAGTTCCAGCCCTCTTTTTCTCGGTCCATTCCACCAACGGGATAAGTCATGGTCGGTAAAACAAACACTATATTGGCCCTACATTTGGGACATGGTGTGCAACAATGTGCCTATGCTGTTTCTTCGCTCGACTATGACATGTCCCAATCGTAGGGCCAACATAGTGTTTGTTTTACCAACCATGACTTATCCCGTTAGTGGAATGGACCGAGAAAAAGTGGACTGGAACCCAAAATCTCTTGTGTGCCTGTGCCATTTCTTCGATCGACCATGACATGTCCCAATCGTAGGGCCAACATAGTACTCATTCTACTGACCATGACGTATCCCATCGGTGAATCAAAACTCAAATAATCTCTTGTGTGCAACAATGTGCCTATGCTATTTCTTCGCTCGACCATGACATGTCCCAATCGTAGGGCCAACATAGTGTTTAATTTACCGACCATGACTTATCCCATCGGTGAATCAACGCAAAAAATCTCTTGTGTGCGACAATGTGCCTATGCTATTTCTTTTATATAATATGGGGACCTTACCGCCTTTGTTACAGACTCCCTATTCAAACCAAACAACATTTCTTATGGACAACCTGGCTCTTACCGACAAAGAAATACGTGAAACCATTGATGTCGCTGAGGGAGAAGATCCATACATTGGTATGCTTGCTTGTACAATCGTTATTACAGTTTTCTAAAGCTTTGATAGAGGAATTTATTAGAACTTTAAATGCAATGCGAGCAGGGGAAGAATATAAACCATCCAATGAACTTCCTTCGGTCTTGAAAATCCGAAAGCTAGAAGAAGAAATTGCAAGATTAAAAGAAATCTCGAAACGAAAGCAGACGAAATGGGAAAATCCGAAAGCTAGAAGAAGAAATTGCAAGATTAAAAGAAATCTCGAAACGAAAGCAGACGAAATGGGACAAAGAGAATCCGGAAATCAAGGAGGCAATAATACGATGCGCAATCGAGAAGAAAGGATATGACAGAACGATTGTTCCAAAAGCTACAATGCATCGATGGGCCAAGCAGTTTAGAGAAACAAAAGCATATGCAGAGGCAGTAAAGTGAGAAATTGCCCGATCCAGAGAAACTTTTGGAGTTCACAAAAATCCAGAGTTGCACCAACTTGACCAGTCCAAATAAAAGTATTTAAACACGAATGAAAAGAAACAGACTCAATGTACTACATCTTAAAACATCATGGATTCCAATATACCACTTTTTATTTTCCCTGACTTTGACACTGACATACTATACAATCCCTTTCATCAAACGATCCTAGATTTGGACCCCAATTCCCAGATGGCATTTCCAGTGGATCCTATCATGGATAACCAGATGGATCTTGGTAAGTTCCAAGTATAATTTATTCCCGAAATGCATGTTGTCTCAACTATACACGGAATTATTCATGAAATATTTCTATAAGGCCATCTGGTCCAATCTCAAGTTTTGGAAGGTCTTAAGAAACCAAGAACAAGGGATATCGTCACCCAAGCAACGAAGACGAACCTTTTCCGGCTTTATTTTGAGGAGAAGATGACGATAGCTGATGCAGCAGAAAAAGCAGGAATGCGTCGTTCCACCGCAGGAACGACGCCGCCGTTATAATAAATAACCGTATAAATATTCAAACATTTTAAATTTGGAATGGATTATTGTTGTTCGGCGTCCGTGTAGTTTTGAAGTTGAAGTCTGGTATGGAACATCTATCGTATATTAAAGTCGAAGTTTGGTAATGGTGCACCTATGTTATATCAACAGGTGATTTTGAGGCGCCATCTGTTGAAATTACACCGCCATTGTAATTCTCACCTTATGCCAATCACAAAAAGCAGGCCGCCATTGTAATTTTCAGCTTCTGCCAATTACAAAAAACACACCGGCAATCAACAGACCCCCAAACGCCATAGTAAGAAAAGAACCCCGCCATCATGAGAAAAAAAGCACCGCCAATCATAAGGAAAAATCCTGTACAAGAGCGCCCACCAAAACCGAAACGTTGACTTCCTCAGCTGACTACCAGGATTTGGAGAAACCACGAACAGCAAATTCGACCGTTGCCTACGATTCAAATGCGGAAATTTCGAAGACGTTGAACTGGAGAAAAAACAAGAAGAAAAGACGACGACTGACGAACCAATACAGCGAGACGAGAATACACCAAAAATAACCGAAGTCACCAACATAGGACATTCCAAACGCCGCGAACAAATCTAAAGATTCCAGACCACAACAACTGCATAACACTTGAAACACTGAACACAATCAACCAACGTACCACAAAGCCAACCGGACGCCGATCACAAACTGATTATCAACACATCACGAAACAACACTGATAGCAACATACCAACGTCGATCACAACACTATTACACCATCACCCCGCACAAAGCTTATTTTGAAACATTCTCAAATTACTCGACGACATACAATTACATCTACTGTGTCACAACCAAAATCACAATGGATAACAACATATACAACGGACTCAAGTATTATCTTGAAACACTCGAATACCCACCAACTAGTAGCAAGGAACTACGGAAAACAATTCGCACTCAAAACGAACACTATATCGTTATAAATGGAAAACTCTACCGCAAAGGATCCACCCCAAAAATGATCCTACAGAGGAGCGAGATCAAAGATGCAATCTGGATGGTACACAAACATTCTCTTGGGGGACATTTTGCATTCCAAAATACACTATTCAAGCTAAAAACAAAATACTACTGGCGAGGAATGGCGCAAGACGTGAAACAATTCATCGCACAATGCGACCGGTGTCACCAACACAAGAAACCCAACAACCAAGAACACTATACCCGATTCCTGTTTCGAACATTCTGTTTGAGAACGTGCATATCGATATCAAACATCTACCAACAGCCCAGAGCCTACATCGCTATATCATTGTAGCTATTTGTTCTTTCAGCAAATATGTCGAAGCACGTGCCTTACAAGTGGCAAATGCAGCAGAAGTTTCTCTGTTTGTTTACGAATGTGTCATTACTATACATGGCTGCCCACGTGTTTTGTGCTCAGACAATGGCTTACCTATCCAAAACAACCTTGTAAATGCCGTCTGCAAGCAATACGGCATCGAACATCGACTCACATCACCATATCATCCATAAGCGAACGGACTAGTCGAACAATTCAATCGAACGGTCGGAGTCATGTTGAAAAGACTCAATAAAGAAGAAAAGAAGAACTGGCCAATGTACCTACCTGCACTACTATTCGCATACCGCAGCATTCGACAAGAAACGACGAAGAGATCTCCATTTTACTTGATCTACGGACGAGAACCACATACACCTTTCGACCGACACGTGCAACCACAAACAAACATTGCAGATCTCCTGGAAGAGGATGATGAGCGCGACGGAGATACGATCATACTCGACTTTTTGAGGAACATATCACAAGACTCAATACAATAAGAGAAGAAGCGATTGATACAATCAAAAGTGCACAAGCGGCACAGAAACGGAGAATCGAAAAGAAATTACTGCAGCAAGGCAAGGAACTGAAACGTCCTTTCCAAATTGGAGATACTGTTCAAGTATACCAAAATTACTTGGAAGCAAATTGGGCAGGACGCCTAGAAGATCTATGGGAAGGACCATTCTTGATTCACAAGGTCAACAAACGCGGTACCTATCGATTAAAAACGATGCAAGGAAGATTCCTACCGAACCCCTACCATGGAAACCGATTGCGCTCTTATACCTTACCTGATACCGAGTACCAAGCCCCAATATCTCAGGCATCGCTGCACCTCATTACCGACGAGGTCGATGCAGTACCACCACAAGAAAATGTATCAGAATCAGACCAAGACGGAACAACACAGACGATGCCGCAGCAAGGAAAATCGAGAAGGACTAAAAATGCAGGAAATCGAAGAAAAACAAAGAAAAAGAAGAAAAGAGATAGTAGCTATCGACCTACCAGAGGACGTTCATAAACCAATAACTCTGAAATATAAACGTGCAAACGCAAAAAAAAAAAAGATATACACTTCGAAAAGAACACATTATAAAATACATAGAGAAAAGACTGTAAAAGAAAAAAAATATATATATATAAAGAAGAAAAATATCCTAAACAATCAACTCTATCATACAGTTGAACTACTACAATGAACAACAACAACAACAACAACACCCAAAACAACACCAACATTACCATCGTAGCCCCATGGGCTCAAGAAACGATGACGGGCAATAACTTGGATGGATAGGGACCAACCCCCACGCATATTCCAAGCAGAAACGAAGGCGGTTGGGCCTCGGAACCAAGCGTCGCTAGCTACGAAGACGATGCCATGGATATCGATGAACAATCAACCACGCATACATCACCATCGCCGTCACCACAAGACCAACGAAACCAACAAGACGTAGCGTTGGATACCTTGGACGCCATCATCGATGTGGACATAGAGGCGTTCACAACAATAGCAACAGCCTATGCAAGCACTTCTACATTGCTAAGCTTGCGTAGACATATACAACAGCAGCTCACCCAGTTGGCGGGTAATACAGCCAGATTTATCCAACAAGTACCAGTGCGCCCGCACCCGCAACGAAATGAAAACCAGCAAAGACAATTAGCTCTTGCTATCGTTATTAGAGACACCTTCCCTTGGGTGCCTGTGAACCTATACTGTGAAGAGTGCCGAAACGTCTTCCTAGGACACAACTGACGAGGATACGACGATTCGCGTTTTTGGAGACCTAATGGTTCTCACTTACAAATTGTACCTTCTTATTATCATTATACACACATTATATATATATTAAAGAAAATGTAGTAGAAAAGAAAAAAAAACATATAACATACAAACAAAAAAAAAAAAAAAAAAAAAAAACTATCATATAAACCCAAACTTTTGTAAGCCTGAACGGCAATCTCCCAACTGTACTACAAACCCACATACACACACACACACACACACACACACACACACAATATAAATACCTGTTTATACATATCAAACCTTTTATTTTAATAAACTGCAATAGGTACAGAAATATAAATCGATCATAAATCACAATACAATCAAAAAAGAGGGAACATAAACAAATAAACACACACGATATACACAAAGATACACATCAAAATCCATTATCACACATAAACACACAAACAAAAGGATGGAGCGCCAACTCATACAGAGTGACTCCACGATTCGCACCTGATTCAACAACAATACAAAGGAGCGCTGACACATACACAGAGCGACTCTACGAACCACATACAACTTATCAAACCGATCGAACGGATGGAGCACCGAAACATACAGAGCGACTTTACGATCCAAACAACAATATCACATCAATCACATCAAGCGGATGGAGCACCGACACATTTACAGCGTGACTTTACGATCCAAACAACATCACAAAAGAATTACAACAAAAACGAACGGATGGAGCCGCCGACGCATATACAGAGCGACTTTACGACCCATTATACAACAATTCAAACGATGTGGGACCATCTTTTTCCGGGCCCGAGGAGGTGTGATACCCCGAGAACTATCCCTCCAATAAAATCTGAATACAAGAAAGAGCTGCATAACAAACATCAAGCACATCACATCACACAACAACAAGAGCTCTACTACAGCAGCCTCGCAATTACTACAACATTCTGGCACTTTCCATAAAGCCAAGGACACAGCGATCCAATAACTACGCAGCAACAACTCTACAAACTTCTGGCACCTTCCAAATTACCAAGGAATAGCTAATAATAGCATTATTCCTAGACTTTCCAATTGATTCCACATCCGTAACCATTGGATGCGAGTACTTTCCACAACCTTCGAGCATCATCTTTGATGTTTAATTATTATAGATGTATTGAATTATTTTGAAAGATATAAATACCCCCTCATTTTATTTGAATAAAGACATTGAATTTCTACCTCCCACTTTTGACTTAACTTTTCAAGTGTTGTTTTCAATCACTCAAGACCTAAACACGGCTTGTTTTATCTTACATATTGTTTATTGCTCATAACTGAAGCTAAATAAACTCTTCTATTAAGACCAGACGTAACATTCCTACTCTTATTTCTCACTTACTTGGACAGACGTAGCATTCCTGATCCTTATCTCTCATTCATTTAGGACAGACGTAACATTCCTGATCCTTATTTCTACTCACTGAGCTTAATCAAGACATCAGCTCACTACTATTTACAACCTTGGACATAACCCATACACATTTTTACCTTACTTTACACTCATATCACTTCACAACCCGTCTGTAATAAACGATATTATTACTGGTGCTCACTACAAAACATACACATAAACCGTTACGCAACTACCTGGAATACCCCAAATTCACCGTAACACTGGTATCGTATCGTTTATAAAAACTAGCATCCCCTAACCTCATTTTCTTCGTTGTTTCCGCTTTTATTTCGTGCAAGAGCTTTTGCAAGACAACCACAGTATCTAGAAACCTCTCTTTGGATGGTACCCCAGTGGCCCGAGAGGGCTCCCTGGCCAGTTCGTACATCCTTATCTCCCCCTCTTTGAAGAAAATCTTTGTAGATAGTCTCCCACAATATTTGGAGGGGAACATCGGTGCCCTTTGACGAACGAGTGGAGGTGGTAAGCCAGGATTGACACAACCACACATCCTCTTCATTGCTCCAGCTCGGACCGCGATTGCCAGCTTTTGCTGCTGCTGCTGTCGACAATTCTGCGACAACTTCGGGAACGGTGGTCGATTCGACACGAGATTCGACATTAGTGATGGGGATCGGGGCAGAAGAACTGGAAGACATTGTTGTTAGAAAAGGAAGTGATTTATAAAGAAGAGAGAGCTTTATTTTACTGCGTACAACAACGCGATTTTATTTTAGAAAACTTGCCCTAATTTTGGGACGCCTATTCTAAAAAATTTGACCCTTTTCTAAAATAGAATGGAAATAGGACGACCGTTGGAACTCGAAATTTTCTATTTCGGAATCCTAAAATAGAATTTAGAACGACCGTTAGAGATGCTCTTATAAACAGTGTTCTTGTAGAGAGTTTTGGAACAAAATTTGATACATTCTATTCTACACTAAAGGAATTTTAGGTCCTTTGTTTTGTAGAGAAAATTTTTTTGAAAATTCTGATACTTTTTTTACATAATTATTAAAATTGAATTTTAATTTAATATAAAAAATAAGATGCAAAAAGAAAATGAAAAGTATTATGCTGTTGTTTTATCTATTGATTCGAAAAAAAGAGATTGTTTGGGAAAAGATATGGAATATATAAGAAAAAAATTTTAAAATGGTCTAAAAAGTTAAAAATTAATGATATATTATATAATGGACCATATTATGATGAAACTATAAAAACAAATAGTCCTCATATTAATATGACATTAAAAAGTAATAAAAAAGAAGAAGAATGATTAAGAGAAGAATTATCAGGATAGGTATCAACAAAAGGTTATGTTTATATAAAAGAAGTTAAAGATTTAGTTAAATGGATTAATTATTGTGGAAAAAATAATTATAATGAAATAGTTAAACAGTTTTTAGAAATAGACTAAATGTATAAATTGATTTCTAGAAGCAGGCTGTTCAATACTTTATTAATTTTTTTATTTTTGATTGATTTTATATATTTAGTTGTTAAGTTTTATTTCTAAATGATAAATAATGATCAATATAATTAGGGGTGGTCAGAGAAAATCTTTGATTTTCGATGACGTGGTTAGCTGGTCATTATGACTGTAGTCATAACCCTAGAATGATGGTAATAATTCTAAACATTTGCCTACAAATGCCTCATAAACAGTGTTCCTACATAGGTATGTATATCTTTGTTAGTGCTTTTTTCTTATGACATATAACAAGCTTTGTTATCTCCACACTACTTATATATATCAAACTTCTCCTTTCGCGGCTAGTCTTAACTCCTTCATCCTGTAAATAATGCATTCTAGATTCTTTACTAACAATCTTCAATGTATCTTTTAGGTATGTCATCTTCAAAATCGTCTATGAACATATCCTTCTGTACTGTTTTTGTTTTTACTTATAAATTGACTCAACATGCATCTTTCTATAGTAGGATCGCTGTCCTTTGTACTAGCTCTGTTCAACTACAGCCTTCCTTTTAAAATTATCACATAACATAGACTTACATTTGATGACGTTCTTTAATGTTCTATAAAGCTTAATCTTATACTCAATTTTTTATATAAATATGATAATAAAAACGGTTGTGAACACCCATAATAATATATATATTAGACCATAAATATAAAAACCAATAGTATGCTTTGTCCATTTACTATATGTGTAATATAAAGAACGAAAATATGCAATGCGTAATCCTTTTTTTACGAACCTACTACAGAAGGCACCTGGTCCATATGCAATGTATAGTAAGACCGTTATAGACATCTACATGCATGATGTAATCAAATCATAAGCTTGGGGGACTATATGCACATAAAAATATCAAGGTGTAAAAAAACCTTGATATTTACTCGAAAAGCTAAATATCAAGGTGTTTGAAAACATCTTGATATTTTATAATAAAGCTCTATATCAAGATAATATCAAGCTTTTTTCTACCCCTTGATATTCCCCTGCAAGCCCAGTGCAAATTACACAAGGCATAAAGCACTTACCAATAGATCGCTCAATCTAATATACTATGTGACAACCAATGCGAAAAACAAAAGCAATTCTAAAAGACATGTGTATATAAAACAAGGAAAATAATATAATTTAAGACAGAATTGATCAAAAGAAAAAAAGAAGGAACAGATAAAGAGAAGAAAGAAGGGGTATATATATGAGAGCGAGAGAAAGGAAAACAGGGAAGAAAGCTAAACATGTCGCACATCTTCATTTGCTGGACCACTGCAGTTGCTGTATTGTACGCGTTGAGTGCGTTCTATCAAAGTATTGTCTAGATATCGATCAATATCATGTTGTTAAGCTTCATAGTGTGCCAACTAAAGTGGCTGAAGACTTTCCCTGTATCCTTCGTCTAACTGTAGCAGATTCTCTTCCCGTAGACGGATCTGTGCGCGTAGTCCGTGGATGGCTGTCTCATACTCATGGTTGCCGTTGAAGCAAATGCATGTGGTTTTCCATATAGATTTGCACTGCTTCGTTATCAATGATGACATGGTAGGGTGGTGAAATAGATGGTGGCGGTGACAAGGAAGTACAATTACTGGTTGCTTGCTGCTCTTCATCGTCGTCGTCGTTAATCAGAAACGGATTAGTAACTGTACCAGCAGGTATAGGTGTTGATGAGGTCATTAATGTGGGCAAAGAAGTGGCAGTGGCAGTAGTGGTGCTTAGGTTGAGGGAAGAATGACGTTGGAGTAACATACCACGGAAGGGGTTTTCTTGAGGCTGTTCAATAAATAGAAGAGAAAGAAATAAGCTTACCCTGACCAAGATTTGCGCTTCTAAAGACTATCTACAATCTATGTATTTGATGTTTACCGGTAGTATTAGCGCATATACATTACCAACTGTTTTTGTATAAAAACTATTGGTAATAAATTTTTTGTTGGTAACAAAAATTTAAATTAATTATAAAATTGAATTTTATTTTTAAATAAAAACAAAATCATCCAAAGATTTAAATAATTTATAAAATTGAATTTTATTTTTAAATAAAAATAAAGTCATCCAAAGGTTTAATAATGGTTGCACTTAATGATTATCTCCCACTTAACCATATTCAAATTCAAAAAAATTTATGTGAAGAAATAAATATTTTTATAGAATCTGATTTTGATCATTTCTTAGAAAACGAAAAAAAATTAATAAAAAAAATTCAAAAAAAAATAGATAAAAAAATAAAAGAAACATTTTCGTCAGAT